GCACACTGTGGAAACTTTAACAAAGTTTGCTCTTAAATTGGTGTTTCACCCAAATCACTGCCACGCTCATGCTCCCACTGACCTCCCAGGGTGTCCAGCGCCCACGAGGGTGGAGCAGAGGCAGACTCGTCACCTCAGCTATGCTCTGTAACCCCGCCCGAGGCTGGTGATGCGTTCAGGTACCTGTTAAACCTTTGAAATGTGAAAATGTGTGCAGGCATGCCCAGAGCCCAGAGTCTGGGAGAGGGGGCGTGGCCTGTTGTCTGCCGTGGCGGAGACATTTCAGTCGGACTTCAGTCTCACTCTGCACCTTCATTAAAAACTACATTTCCCAGCAGGCAGTGGGAACGTGAGGATTCTGTTGGTGGTAATTTGGGTGAAGGTCTGCTGGGAGGGTTTCCTCCCAGCTGAAGAACAGTGGATCAGCTGCTTTGTCTTTACCTCGGTGTTTGTTAGCGGCTCTGCCGGGTTCTGTTTCCGCCGCCGGGCTCAGGCAACACAGGTGAGACCGCAGAGCGGACCCTGCAGACCAGCGGGTGACGTGACGCCGGCTCTCCGTGTTGCCTCAGCGTGGATGCACCTGGATGCACTTTCAGGTCTGTTAGCATCATTGTCCACAGACGGATTCAGTTTCTGACTTGGGTGCTGAACACCTGCTTCATGTCACAAACCCTAAAGCTGCAGCTCTTTTAACTACACTGAGGCACAAACACTCAGAGCGCCACCAGTGAGCCGCACGGGCAGCGCCGCTAAACGAAGCAATAAATGTAAAAGAGATGATTCAGGACCTCTGCGCCTGCTCGTTCAGACCATAAAACACGAAGAGTTTCAGATACAAACACCAGTAATCTCGTCACATGTCCAAAAACAGCTGGCATCAACTTTCAAATCCAGTCATTCGAGCTTTGGCGTGGCGCTGCTACTACTTTATCTCATTTATGCCCAAATAGTTTGAGGGTTTCTGGCCCGCCTGGCTGGTTAGGGACAGCGCCGGGGTACATCAGGCAGTCGTACTAACCAGCACAAGTTTGAGACGTAGGCTTGAATGCAGAACACGCGGCTGTGACGTGTAGTCGTCTGAGCGAACTGACTGTCGCGTCCTGCAGACGTGACTTCTCCCCGCGGTCCACAGCGGAGGACGAGCTCTGCACCAACACGATGCAACACGCAGCCGAGAGCGAGCCGCGGTGCGTGATGCGTTTGTTGAGGTTAAATAAAAGAGGCCAAAGCGCGATGGTTGCTGCTCACTGTACAGGGATTCATGCCACAGCGTTTGAGGCGCTTACATCATCCTCTTTCATCTCGCCTGATTCAAACAGTTTGAAATACTGTAGTCACTGCAGATTACAGCTGCTGTGGTCACTGAAGGAGGCTGCCGCAGGACTCGGAGGCTAAATTTACTGCCAATCCCACCCTCTGCTCTCAGCAGGGGATTCTGCAGAAAAAGAAACGGCGTTTAAAAACGAGCCGAACGGGAAGGTTCGGGCGTTTGTGGCATCACTGCAGACGCACCTCTGTGAACACCGACCCGTTAGACACCGAGCGTTTCTCCAGGCACTGCTTTGGAGAGGATATCTGAGAGGTGTCATCCAGCCGTGACAGCTAACGTACACGTCAGGAAAAGGATGACGAACAAGGTTCAGTCAAACACTCAGACTGTCCTTAAACGCACCAACATGGAGAGTTTTCAGGTCTGGATTGTTAGAAATAATACAAAATAGAATAGAACTGTCCTTCCTCATGGCTCTGTGCCGACAGAGCAAACCTGTCGATACGCATTATTATTATTATTAATAAACAATAAGCCAAATTGAATTCATTGAGATGCCAAATTGTGTCTGTTTCTCTCTCTGTCAGCTGAATATCTTAAACAGAGCGACGGCTGTTTGAACCACAGACACGCCTGAACGCGTCGCCTCGGAAACTAAAACAACTTTTTTGCCTTTCGCATTCGTCCAATCGGTGGAAAAGGTAAAACACTGATTAATGGAAAACAGGGAGGGCTGCGTATAAACACCAAAGTGTCACATCGAGCTTTTTGTATTTGAATTTTCCTTCAGATGAAAATGCTGCTTTAATGTTTTGCTCAGAGTTCTGGTTCTGGTTCAGTTGGTAACAAATCCGTGGTCCTGCTAACGTGCCGTAGATAATTGGCTGAACGCTCCTTTAGACCTGCGGCGAGCCGCTCCAACCTTCACACAGCACAAACACCACCTCAGAGTCTGTGAGCAGTGCTGAACTCTTCAATCTTCAAAGGTCCTTTATGAATGTTTCCACTGGGTGCTGCTAGGGGGCGCCGCAGAGCATAAAGACTTTGGCGTATTTTATAAAGGTTTTGTATGAGATGCACTTGTAACCTTGAAAATGATTTTGTTTATTCGTTTCGTGGTTCTCGTCCTCTGAAGTGCTGAGAGGAGCAGAGACGCTGTGGACTCACAGCGCCACCCGGTGGGCTACGCTGAAATGACAATGTAATAATGTCACACACTATTATGTTTACCTTACTGCTATTAATTAACAATGTGGATGACGGTGTAAATAAAGGCTACTGTGGAATAGTACTGGCAGCAGAGTGATTCTTCTTTGTGTGGACTCTTATTCTGAAAGGATGGGTGATTAGATTAGATTAGATTAGATTAGATGAAACTTTATTAATCCCTCGGGTGGGATGCCCGGCATTGTCCATAATGTCCATCAGTTTCTTTAATGTCCTTTTCTCTGCCACTGTCACCAGAGTGTCCAGCTTCATGCCGACCACAGAGCCAGCCTTCCTGATCAGTTTCTCCAGCCTGGATGAGTCCTTCTTTGCTGTGCTGCTCCCCCAGCACACCACAGCATAGAAAAGTACTCCAGCAACCACCGACTGGTAAAACATCCTCAGGAGCTTCCTGCAGATGTTAAAAGACCTCAGCCTCCTGAGGAAGTACAGTCGGCTTTGGCCTTTTTTATACCGGTGCTGCGTGTTGCATGACCAGTCCAGTTTGTTGTCCACCTACAGGAAACTGTGCTGAAACACAGATATTATAAGTCAGAACACTTCCTGGTGGTTGATGTGCTGAATTGAGGGACACAGCAAACAGCCCAGTGAGGTTTGTGGGGACCATAAATGCATCGTCTTCATTAGGGTTCAAAGTTCAAGAGTGGACCAAGGATTATTGGTTCCTTCATCACTGAGGAGGATGTCCTGCTGTAAATATATAGGTACTTAACTCTTTGGTTCACTGTCCACACACAGACTGTTGCATTGGTGTGTTTTGTTTACAGAGCAGTAACCACAGGCGTTATTACAGGCCCTGTTCCTGAGTGCACAACCTGGCCAAGGCTTTTTCTTGCAGCGCTCCCTGGAACAGAGCACAGCAGGACCTGAACTGTTTAATGTTTTATTCTCAGTCAGTTGGGTTGATGAACTGTGATGACTACAGTAAGCTTTGCATGGATATTTAAAGCAGGTCAGTGTTCTGGTTCTGAGGTCTTTTATCCTCTCAGTGTTTCAGTCTCCAGTCTGAGATATCTTTGGTCCTGCGAGGATAAAGATGTCCTTGACAAAGTTCCTAAAACTGGGGAAAAGGAAGTGTTCTCCAGCAGCAGATGGTTTAAGTGAGCGGTGTGTTTGATATTCTGCGGTGTCGTCTGGTTCATTTCAATTCTGCCAAATTAATTAAAAGCATATGAATGAGTTTCTCACAGCTCTGGAGACAAATATCATCTGACTGTATGAAGGACTTCCTGCTTTCAGTTTTGGGTGTTTTACGTGTCCCGAATGCAGCTTCAGTGAACCTCGATGCGATGACCCTGAGACGGCGTGAGGACTCAAACCAGCTGTCAGGTGGTTTGTTGTAGCTGTTTGCAGAGGTGCTTGGAGGAGTAATGGCACTGTGACGATGTCCTGGATCACTGCTGATCACCTACTGCTGCAGTCAGTCGAACAGCACCATCAGCTGTGAAATTCAAACGGTGCACGGCGCGCTGTTCGATGACCACAATAAAATAACCGTTAAATAAAACGAAGGACATAAACGCTGACAAGCTGAAAGTCTGAACCCCGTCTGAGGATCCGAACAGGAAAACCATCCTGCACACCTCTGATGACTTCGCTTTATCCTTCCAGTAAGAGCCCGCCTCCAGGTCCAGGCGTCGTGGAGGTGCTGTGCTGCCATCTGCTGGTGTAAAGGTAGCAGGTCTTCTTACCTTGGGTTTCGTGAGGTAATATTAAAGAGAGGAAGGCTTTGATAAATGTAAAGACAGTGAAAGAAAAGCAGATTTTAAAGGCAGTGGACTCAGCAGCTCTCAGCACAGTCAGCTCAAATCATTCAGCACTTTTCTTTTTTCACTGTCGAATCGTGGGATTACCTGGATGATGAT